TGCGCGACATACTCGGTGCTCTTGGGGTACCTATGCTTTATCCACTGCGTCTGTTTTGTGATAATCAATAGGTGTTATATATTGCGGCTAATCCAATATTTCATGAAAGAATGAAGCCTGTTGATGTTGATTGTCATACCGTTCGGGAGTCCGTTATAAAGAAAGAAGTGTCTACACGCTACATTCCTACACAATTTCAACTTGCGAATATCTTCACAAAGGCTTTATCTCGGCCTGTTTTTAATTTTTTATTGTCTAAGTTGGGCATTCTTGATGTTTATGCTCCAACTTGAGGGGGAGTGTTAGCAGATATTCTTGTGTGTAGCGTGTATATAGGCTTGTGTTTATATTTTGGGCCTAACATTGCAGCCCACTTTGATACTTGTATATATACCAGATTGAGATTAATGAAACACAGAACAGTCACACAAATATTTCTACACGGTCTAAAGCAGGTCTTCGAAGATGGATCAAAGGGTATTGTTTGTTACAGAGATGAAAGTGGGGAGGTACCTTGTGAAGGGTACGACGAAGGTCCGAGATTTTGCCCGCAATTCTCAATATTTTCTTGTAACCCAAGGTAATAGCATAATGATATTTGGTAGGAGATGAATGATTAGGTGGCATGATCATTAAACTAACTCTCTCACTCATTATGGTTGAATTGGTGTTGAGGATATATAATCACACGTCGAACACCCAAGCTAAAAAAGAGACTAATATATAATTGAGAATATGAGTTACTTTCATTATTGTCAATTGATTAGGGGTTAGAATCTCATAGTTCTCCCGTTATATTTAACTAATACCGTTGGGTGATCTTACTGTTGTTTTTCTTTTGGTTGCTAGAGACTCGGAGACTGTTGATATTTTGCAAAAATGTTGGCTTCAAGGGATTCATAACACTGAAATGTAATACTAGTAACAATGGAGACATGGGCTTTTTCGGCAAAACAAGCATTTGAATGACAAGTCTCACTTTGAATTAAAGGCAAACACAACAGCAATATAATGGCTTGGTTACATGTCTATGTAGTTTGTCTTCTACTTTGTACAAGATATATGTAAAAAAGTGAAACCTAATATCTATGCACACTAAGTTCTAGGAATAAATAATGGAAAAGGGTCTTATCATATTTTTTGTGCAATTGGAGCCGGGGGTCTCTTAGAAACAGCCTCCCTACTTCCGAGTAGGAACAAGGTCTGTGTACACACACCCTCCATATACCCTACTGTAGTGGGATTCAACTGGGTTGTTGTTGTGGTCTTTAATTTGCCCCTATAAATAAGGAAAAAAGACTAAAGTAGGAGTAAAACATTAAAAAAAAATACTAAAATAGAAGTTCTATATTTTTATTCCCGAAATAGGAGTTAAATGGATTTATATATCCAATCATGAGCCTATACATTACATAATATGTACATACACAGTATCACATTACCACAGTACGAACTTCTATTTACAGAATAAAAACATGAAACTCATATTTTTTATTTACTCTACTTTGATTTGTTTATATATAAATAAACTGTCAACACATGTTGTATGAATGACTTCTCTATCCATGTCAGTATATGAACTTTAACCTGATCCGTCATGAATATCATTGAACTCGATCTGACCATAGTAATAGTCATCAAACCAGGAGTGATATTTTTCAGAAACAATTAAATGATCTACTAGAGCATATGAAGAGATCTAGAATATGAAAACTTATAGTATAAAGTTTTGAAGTTAAGTCAAATATAAGTTTGAGTATAATCAAACTTGCCAAGAAAAAGGATTTAATTACTAGAGCATACCATATGTCATTTGACTTTTCCTCAAATTACACAAATTATTTTTCAAAAGTAATTTGATATCATAAAAATCAAGAGTAAAATACATACTCTTGAATTTTATTGACATTACTACAAGAACTAATTTTAAAAATTGAAAAAAAAGAAATGTAGTTGCATATGATATACTACCTCACTTTCTTAAAACATTTAATCTTTCATTTTTTCTTTAAAATACTTTCACTTTCTATTTAAAAATTATTTTCACCCCTACTTATTCCTATCATACTTATCACATCATACATTTATCATTAAAACTCTATCTATCATATCTTACTTTTACCTATCACATCAAAGGCAAAATTAGAATGTCAATTATAAATATACACTCTTTATTTTTCTTAAAGTCAAAATAGAAATCGTTTTATGAAATGTGAGGAATATATAACAAAAAAATCATTTCCCAATAAAAGTATGTATTTGTATTATATGCATCAATTTTATCAAAATTCCATAGAGACTTGAAGTGGCGTAGGACCAAAGCCAATATTGTCCTTATTCAAAATTCTTCGACGTGAACCTAAGAGGTTGAAGAAGAGGCACAAGACATTGGACTATCCGGAAGTGGACAATTAGAATGAAATTATAATTATAATATCGAAGGGCTACTATGGATAACACTTAAATATAAATGACCATTTTGTATAAATCTTATTTTAAATTAAGATGATATAAAATATCAAAATATATCTCACTTAACAACAATTTAAGAACTGTTTTTTGGGAAAGACTTTCAAAGGAATAGATCTTAATTTTATATATGATGGGTGTATTCCACCCATGACCGGTCAAAGGAAAAGACCAAATAGTTGACCGGTCAATCTGAAAATACAGAAAAGGGAGACCTTTAATCGTCAGCCAGAGGATACTCAATCGGTCAAAAGGTGACCGGTATACTCCAGAAAAGTATACTGGTCAAACTGCTTCATCGCCTAATCCACTCCTTGAGTTTCTATCAACTCAACCCTTAGAAACTACCTGTTACATTTCCTAGGGTTAAAGGGTGTCGGCAAGAAGAATCCAAAGTAGCTTGGATTGTAGTGACTAGTATCATTGGAAGATCAATGGAGATGCTAAAGGAATCTGTCCAAGCCAGTACGTGACAAGGGAGCAATCTCCCTCACAAGGTGACAAGGCAGCAAGAGGACGAAGGCCATCACCTCCCACCATCCGAGAACGTGCCTCCACGTGGGTGCACGACGTCCTGTCCCCCTCAAACTTAGTATAAATACTGTTGTAATCCTTAGAAGGAGGGATCCGAATTCATTCTCTCTAAACTCCCTTGTAAAAGCATCCGTGCATTCTCTCATATAATATTAATTGGGCTACAGGTGTTTCCACCTAAAGTCCTCCCGGTCATATTTGTGCATTTTTACCTTTTTACTTTATCGAATTAAGTAAACGATTCTAGACCCGGTCTAGAGTAGTTTACCTGGTTAGGTAATTTACATCATCATTTTTGGCGCCATCCGTGGGACCGTTAAGGTTTCTTCTCCTCTAAACACAAACCTACCCACAAAAACACCACTCAAGATGTCTTCAAGCCAGCAGATCAACGCTACTACTGCTCAGGTGCAAGCCGCCGCTGAGGGGGTCAGCATCCCCATGGTTGCAACCCAACCGGCTGTTTTTGCTCCCATGTTGCCATTGGGTCTGAGCTCAATCCCAACGCCCAGCGTGGTCAGCCCATTCACGATCCATGTCCCTTCTGCTGGACCGAGGGTCACGTTCCCACCAAGCATGACCTAGTTCATGAACGACCCGGCCAATCTACAGGCCATCCAAGGCTTTGGCTGTTGGAACACGGGTTTACGCCTATGTCGTACTAAGCCGTGTTCGTTTTATGACAGGTTTTGATAATGCCAAACCGTCGTGACAATAACAAGGTTAAACTGAGCAAAACCAAGGCGAAGGAACATGGCATGATGAACGGAGAACCAAGAACCAAGAATCAAGAGCGAAGAATTAGAATTGCATCGAATCGGTCTTAATGTGATCAAGACCGGCACAAACTTCCAAATCTTGGCTCTCTAAGCTCAAATCATCAAAACCCTTTTTGTATATTCAAAATGATTTTCATAAGTTTTTAAACTTGGCAAAAAATACTTGGAGTTCGCCCAAACCAAAAACCAAGTCATCCAGCGTTCGGCTTTCAGAAACCAACGTTCAGCTTTCGGTTTTCAGCATTGGTTTTTGGGCATCCGAACCAACCAAGTGGTTTTTAACTTTTTATGATTGGTTTTTGCTTCTGGGCATATTTAAATAGTTCTCCAACAAAAATGCCTCAAAAAACATGGTTTGGCGTTAAGTCCTCCAACAGCGATGTTGGACATTAGACATCGCTGTAGAGCCAAGGTTGGATTTCCAGAAACTTCTGGAACAGCGATGTAGGCCTCCCTATAGCGCTGTCCAACCTAAGCCAAAAATATAGTGCATTGGTAGAAAGTTTCAGGACAGCGATGTTGACCCAGCAACAGCGCTGTCAGGCCAAAACTCCACCTTCAAAGGCAGACCTAAACAACGATGTTCTAGTATGGAACATCGATGTAGAGACCTGACCGTTGGAAGGAATTTAAGGCTAAAACTTTCCTTGTCTGGAAATCAACAGCCAAAACAGCGATGTAGGGATTTTAGACATCGCTGTTGGCATGACCGTTGCTTCCCATTTTTCAAAACGCAAGCCTAGAACAGCGATGTCCAAGCCTAGGACAGCGCTGTCTGGGTGAATTTCAACATATCCAATCTTGATCAAATCCCACAAATTGTGCCAATCACCCCTTAAATACTTTGGTCCGTTGGAGCCTATTTTTCTACTATAAAATGGGGTGTTTGGGTCTTTTTTACACATAACATTACTTCACAACTCCTACTCTTTCATTGCAAATCATTCTTCAATTATTCATAGCTTTTGAGAGCCATTTTTTTGTGAAGCTTGTGTTGTGTTCTTGAGCGTTCTTAGTTTACTCATTATCCACTATAAAAGAGAGTATTGTTCTTGAGTGTTTTTAGTGTTCTTAAACACTTGACAAGAGAAGGTATTTCTCTTGTTGTTCGAAGGAAGGGCTGTTTCCTTTGAAGGTTCGTTGAGGTTCGTGTGACTCGAATTCTCAAGTTGTACGGGTTTGTTAAGCACTGTTAAGCTTAACGAGGTAGTAGTCTAGCTCGAGAGAGTCTCTCGGGAGGCTAGATTAGCCACAAGTTGTGGTGAACCAGTGTAAAATCGGTGTGCCTCTTACTTTTCTCTTTACTTCTCGTTTATTCATTTTTTATTCCTGCAATTTTTGATCAAACGCTATTCACCCCCCCTCTAGCGTTAGTCTCTTATTCTAACAATTGGTATCGGAGCCTAACTCGCGTCCAAACTTAACTGTTTGAGAGTAAAGCGATCATGGGCTCTTCTTCTAGAAATCTCTATGCAGGAATTGGAGAAGGTCAATCAACTTCTAGGCCACCACTCTTTGATGGCACCAACTACTCTTATTGGAAGGAACGGATGAGAATCTACATTCGTTCCACCAACTTCGAATTGTGGTTGGTGATAAAAAATGGCGAAGAAATCCCTATGAAGAAAGTGGGAGAAACCACGGTCCCAAAGACCGAAAACGAATTTGATGCCGAGGACATCAAGAAGATTGAAAACTATGCAAAGGCCATCAATATGCTATATTGCGCGGTTAACCCCGATGACTACCAAAAGATCTCCTGTTGCACAACCGCCAAGGAGATGTGGGACAAGCTTGAAGTGACGTACGAAGGTACCGATCAAGTTCGCGAAGCCAAGATCGATTTTCTCACCCAAGAGTACGAAATGTTCCGGATGAAAGAAGGTGAGAAAATTGATGACATGTTCGACCATTTTTCAAAGATCATCAACGACCTTCATGCTCTCAAAAAGACTTACACCAACAAGGATCTCGTGAGGAAAATCCTACGAAGCCTCACACCCGAATGGAGGTCAAAAGCCGATGCAATCTATGAATCCATTGGAGTCTCCAACGTCACCATCGACGGGCTAAGAGGTAACCTTAAAACCTATGAATCTACTATTCTAACCCCGTCTTTGGATGAACAAAAGAAAAAGGGGATAGCTCTCAAAGCCACCAAGGAACCAGTGGAAGAGGCTTCAAGCGATGATGACAATGAATTTGGGCTCGTCATCAAGAAGTTCCACAAGTTCATGAAGAAGGAATTTGAGCGGAAGGGAAGGAAGCACGACGGTCCTCCCAAGTGCTACGGCTGTGGCGAGATTGGCCACATCAAGCCAAGGTGTCCAAAGGCCAAACATGGCAAGGATAAGCCTGGCTTCAAGAAGCAAAGGGCCTACATCTCTTTGGGTGGCGATTCCGGCGACGTATCAACCGACCAAGAAGAGGACGAAGCTGCAAATCTCTGCCTCATGGCGCACGAAGATCAAAGCGACGACGTCCAAAAGGTATGTAATATTTCTTCTGACTCTTACACTTTTGAAGAAATGCAAGAAGCACTACATGAACTTTATTAGGAATTTGTTAGCGCTTCTAAAACAAAAAAATCCCTGAAGAAACGACTTTCTATACTTGAAAACGATTGTGAAAAATTGGAAAAAGAAAATGAAATACTTAAACAAGAAAACAATTTTTTTGGAAAAAGAAGCGCTGACAAACTAGAAAGCTCATCAAGTGAATGTGGGTCTTGCAAAACTTTAAAAGAGCAAATCGCTAAACTTGAGAGCACGGTCAAGAAATTTAATACTCCTCAGAAAGACTTAAATTTACTTCTTGACACTATGCATTTTTCTAAGGAAGGAATAGGTTTTGATAAAAATAAAGCTAAAGATAATGTTGAGCCACCACCTAGACAATCATCTAAGGTTCAACATAAGAAACCTAAAAATGAAGATAATAGAAAACCTAGTCAACCGAAGGACACTAGACAACCTAGACTAAAACCTAGGAATGAAAATGGTCATAGTAGACAACCTAAGAAAAATGATTTTGTGCATAAAAATGAATTTTCTCAAATAAGAAGAAATAATGCTAGAGCACCTAGAAGAGGCCAATTTCAAAATTTCCAAAAACCA